TCTCTCTCTCTCTCTCTCTCTCTCTCCCTCTCCCCCTGCTGTCCGTACTGTATAATGATATTATAATCAATGTATGATTGAGGAAGTTCTTCTTTATGTGGTTGAACTGTTTTGTTCTTGTTAATGTGATTTTAAAAAATGAGTAGGCCTGTTTCTTTTATAGCGATCATGTCGAGATCATCGATGTATAGCGCTCAGAGCTTATACAGTAGAACATGACTACAGCGGCATCCGCTACAGCGGGACCTTATCAGAATCCCCCCTTTTTTCTATGTAAACTCAATAACCTGTGCTCGAGTTTCGCGGGGCAAGGAAAGACCCGAACTCGGATACAACGGGAGAGATCGAGCGAGCTCTAGCTGGGGAGGGGGTTGGGGAGTTGTGTAGGTGGGCTCCAAACAGGCAGTCAGCGGTGCGGTGTTGTGATTGGCCAGTCCAGTGATGAGTGAGGTGGGGCAGGCGGCTGAGAGAGAATGCAGAGAGACGCTTACGTGAGCCACTCCTAAAGTGATGTGCCGTTGTCACAGAATTCTACACTAAGTGTAGAATTCTGTGGCCGTTGTTTAATTAGACGCTCAGTAAAAAGTAAGAGAGCGCATAGGCCATAGCCTAGTCTAGGCCTTCTCAGGCTTAGGCTAGGCCAAAAAGTAAAAGAAGAAGAGAGCTTGAATTGGGATCGTTGATGCTCATAGGCATACGCACGGATCCGGATCCATTCACCAGCTCTACAGTAGGCCTACCGTTAAGATAGACAACACAAGTAACGAGAACGAACAAAAGATGGCTTCCACCAAAATTAAAAGGAATTGCTTCTCACTCGAAAGGTCGAGATAATCAACGAAGTTGACAAGAAAAGGAAGACTAATCTAAAGCGCAGATTTTATTGATATGGAAAGGGGGGTAATAATGTAGATTTTTAGAACATTTCCAGTAATTTCCCCTTTGCTTTCCTTTTGTGGCTTTGTGGGCACTCGTCGACAGCGGGACTTTTCTTCTAGAACCATAAGTCCCACTATAGCCTTTTTCTACTGTACTCGTACACGCATTTATAATATGGGATAGAGTGTTAGATAAATGCAATCTATTACATTTAAATATGTGCATTTATATTTGTGCATTTATATTTATATTTATGCCCCCTCCCCCACACATATTATATATATATATATATATATATATATATATATATATATATATATATATATATATATATATATATATATATATATATATATATGGGGGCTCTGTGGTCCTGTAAGGTGTCTGCCTCTCATTCAATAGGTCGCGAGTTTGAATACGGATAGTGACGGACAAATTTTATTCTTTAAAATTGTCTCCTTTCGCCTCCTTTATCCTGCTCTCAAGCAACGTTTTGTCGTCTGCTTTCGTCTCCACTTTCTGCCCCCACACCATCCACTCTTTGCCCCTCCTCTGGTCTCTTGACTCTTTCTGTAGTCTTTCTACTGCTACTCCTTGGCTCCTTAAACTGCTGTCTTTCAGCCACACCTCTGATCTTAAGGCAGACAAGATCTGTAATACCTAGCCCTCTTGGATAGCCTCCATCATCATCTTCATCATTGCCTTTCTCACCCTGCATGCACCAGGGACAAACACTTTAAAATTCCACTTTCTCTATTTTGGACTAGCCTCTTGATGTTATTCCATGTCTTCCCACTTTTCTGTACTTCAGTTTCTGTGATTCTTCTCCAGGTTCCACGTGGTTTTCCTCTTATTGATATTTTACCCTGGGATTCCAATAAACCCTTATTCTTTGTTATGCAGCAGCCCGACTTCCTGAGAGTATGTCCAATCCATTGCCACCGCCTTCTTCCTACCTCATCTCTGACTGGGATCTGTTTTGTTTTCGTTAACACATAAATATAAATACATCCTCGTTTGGTGACCCTGTATGTCCACCTGATCCAGTTACTTTCTCAGGAACTTGTTCAAGAAAACCTGGGTCCTCTTTACGCGAGTCTTAGATGCGTTCCATGTCTCACATCCATACAACAGGAATGACATCGCATTTGAAAAAACATTCTCAGCTTTGTTCGAAGTGAAATATCCTTAGTCAAAGATCCTATTCAAAGATCTCGGATATAAGCCTGGCCTAATAGCGAAAAATCTTGGAGGTCCCGTGTGTAAGTTGCGCACGTTAAAGATCCCTGTAGATCTAGTCCAAAATCGATAGGAGTAGCGCCTATATATAGGCTTTGGCCGCTACCCGGGCAAAATTCAAAATCTCCTACAAACTGAAAATGTTTAGTGAGCCTCGTGCGCCAATGGCCTTTAATGCAGTTGCGAGCGCCGTAAAACACTTACCAAAGTAATTGAAAAAAAAAAAAAGATACAGATCTATGTCTATATGATCGTGGCATATAGTCTTAAGGCCTGCTAGATTCGTTTATTTTTTTCCTCCGTTGTATGATAACCCCCTTTAGATGGACATAGCCAACATGCATTTACTCAATTCGAATTAAATCAATAATATCGATAAAGTTTTGAAAAATACGCCTGTAATATATATTGTTTCGGAGATTTATCTGCTAGGAGACAAGATTTAAAAGAATACAAACGCACTTACTATACCAATAAATTGTATACCTAGGTCTAAAATAAACCTGTGTTATGAGGACTTTTAACTGAGAAATTTGGAAGCTTCTTTTAACTCTATGCGTTATAGCAAAAATGATTTGACTTGGGTTATAACAATACAATAAATAGTTATTAAAAGGGAAAATATGACAGGAGTACATTATGACATCAAGATAGATGATGCTGAGCCATAGATTTGTGCTGAGTGCTGAGTGCTAGCAAAGATAGTACAAGACAAGATGGGTCACTCAGCCTAAAAAGTGTCCGCAGGAAGTATGCTCTTTGCTTCAGATGGCGCTGCAGTCTGTTTTGAAGCTCTCTTTCGTTTTTCCAGAAGAAGAATAGGAATAGCACCTCCTTGCGTGCGCAGATCGACTGCTGTTCATCAGCAGTTCGAGTTCGTTCAGTGCAGAGTTTTAGGTTATTTATACTTTAATGACCTCTCGCCTTTCATTCTAAAGTCAAATTAAACGAAGAAAACAATCACCCTTTCCTCCGGAAGAGGTTTTTTGTCAGCGTAACCATTTTTAAAAAGCGTTCTTCCGAAATTTATCCCAAAACTTGCTAGTTTCACTTTGATTTTTAAAAACTCAAGTAGGGTAACTCTGTTCGCAAAGAGTGCGCTTTTGTGAAGAGGGCGCCACCAAATTTTGAGGACACTTTTTTAATTGGCTCAAAGAGAGAAGTGGCCCATCTTGTTATGTACTATCATTGGTGCTAGGCAGTTCAATGAACATTTCATGGCTGACATGATATCGATATTATTCTTAATATCGATGCCATCAAAGATTGTATCAATGAATCATTGATTGTATAAAAGATCGTTCATAATCTTTGATTATAATGCAAACTTGGATGCAAACATTCCATCTTTTAAAAATAGGATCTTTTGAATATCAACAGAAAGGTAAAAGAAACTGTCGAAAAAGCAAATTTTCTTTTGGCATTGGCATTAGCGTTTGCACAATGCTACTCATAGTGTTACTGTAAAAGAAAAGAAAATAACTAGATTCTAAATGTTGGGAATGACTTCTTAATGTTTCTATAGAGACAAGACAGCCCACTCTTCCACTATTAGCACTCTTCAAAATGAATGCGTCCATCGACATTACAGGGAATAGTTGTTTCCCCCATTTTTTTTCTCTTAATTTGAACTGGACAGGCGACCAATATCTTTCATGGTTTAAAATGTTTTTTCCACCAGACGATTGAAACATTATGACCCTTTCATTGTGCTCCGAACTTTCATGTATACAGAAAAAATGCCCCCCCCCCTTCCCTTCCCAGACCAAAGAAAAGACAAGACTAAGTAGAATGAGGATATCAATTATGTCTGTAATAAGTGCTGTCATTTCTGTGCCAAAGATGTCCTCGAGATCTTTGGCTGTGCTCTGTATCGATATGAAAGTATCGATCTTCGATATCTTGAAACTAGAGCTGGGCGAAGAGTCGATTCTGGAACCGATTCCCACGATTAATATTACGGATGCAAAGTTCCTTCTCCTTTTTATGTAAACCAACGGTTTTATCATTAAAATTTTCTTTTTTAAAAAGAATCTATTTTTGAAAAATAAAAGTTAATGGTTCGTAGTGTTCCGAAATCAAGGTTAACCTAAATCCTGAAGACTTTCGAAGCCAACCAGGTAACCACCGGGAAAAAAAATCACATCATTAGAAAATAAGTAATTGGGTTCGGAGTCGATTCCTACGATTCCTAGCTTTCAATAATCGGGAACTCATCCACCCAGCACTACTTGAAACACAACAATAATGTCTGCTTGCTTGACTGTTGTGTGTATTTCCCCTGTCCACCTCTTCTAGATCTAGAATCTAGATCTACCCAGAATAGAGTATGTACACACTAAAATTTGATAAAATCTTCTTGACATATATTTTTCAGCTACTCACATGACTGAAATGAATACAGGTATTGAAGGAGTTCCTTCATGATTTTGCTGTGCTCAATGAAAAATATATGCTAATCTCGACGACCATTCAATTGTGAATGTTGTTGTCGCTGGTTGACTTAAATTTCTTAGTAGCCTACAGTAGGCCTACTGTAGTTTAGTAGTATAGACTAGTATTACTATAATTTTAGCATTAAGCCTAATACTAGATTCTAGATGTAATCTCATCACCCACTTAAAAAAGTTCAGGTCCCAAAAATTCAAGGATTAGTGACAGGAACAAGTGTGGGCGATTTTGTAGTTTCGTTCGTTTAAAAGTCAAGAGTAGGGGGTATCAGGGTTTTATCCTAATTTGATGTTTTGCAGTTAGGTTGCATTCCTGCTCTTTGTGTAGCCTAATTCAAATAGTATTTGGTCTTCAAGACTTCTGGATTTCTTCTCTGGATGTAAACAGATTGATCGTGGACTTTAACGAACGGAACTACAAGATCACCCAAGTGTGCTCAGGCTCAGAAGTAGATCTAAGTCAGTCCTACGGCTACAGTCAGGGGAACAACTAGTTGAACAAGTGAAAGTGACAAGCGGATACAGGCATCGGGATGCGATAGCTAGATCTAGATCTAGATCTAATCTAGATCTAGAGTACGACAACTGAAACAAAAGGCCACCTCTATTCTCACCCGGGGTGAGAATAGTGCAGGCGAGTCTTTTGGCTATTCTCACCCGGTGCGCGTTCACCGTTATAGCCTAGATCTAGGCCAACAAATTTTGCGTTCACCCTAAACCACAGAATTCTACACTGTGATGACAGAAAAGTTGTAGAATTCTGTGCCGTGAACAAACGTTCCATTACAACTGTAGCCTACTAAAAGCATACAATTTTGTCTGTGGGCAGTGGAGAGAGAAAGAGAGAGAGAGAGGAGTAGCGCGAGAACTTCCGGTCAAAACAAAATGGCGACCCGCGTAGTTCGGCTCGATTCGAAAAGTTAATTTATAGCCGTAGCATCTTTGTAGACAACCAAATTAATTTACTTTTGTGTTTTAACATCATTTTTTAACTTTGTTTTGGTCAATTTGATCGTCCACACCGATAGACAGTATTCAGAAAGAGACAGAGAGAGAGAGAGAGGGGAGGAGTAGATCTTGCGAGAACTTCCGGGCAAAACAAAATGGCGACCCGTGTAGTTCGGCTCGATTCGAACAGTGAAATAGCCATAGCATCTTTGAAGACGATCAAATTAGCTTACTTTTGTGCTATAACGTAATTTTTTCTTGGCTTTTATCAATTTGATCATCCACATCGATAGAAAGTATTCCGAAATTAGGAAAAACAGGTCTTGTTTCAAACCGGGTGAGAATAGCCTACGGTCGCAAGTCTCACCCGGGGTGAGAGGTCGATCGTATTCTATTCTCACCCCGGATGAGAATAGCCACTTCCAAACACGCCATGGCGAATATTTATCGCAGGCGACGTGTATACAGACCCGGTAACCGGGAACAAAGTCACCAAGTACAGTGGAACTCGGATTCAACGAGGTCGTCGGGCCTGACCTAAAATCTCGCTGAATCCGAGTGTTCGTTATAGCAAACACAAGGTTTTGTGTAGATAATTACAGGCACTGAGCAAGTTATGTATAAAGAGAAGTCACAAGTAGTGCCTGAAATGCGTGCATATTATGAACTGTAAAATAAAAAGACCGATTTGTTAAAATACCCATGCCTGTGTCATCTCGATTGTTTACCAAAAAGTTGTGTTGCTGTTTAGAGCCTAGTATACGGCTACGTTAGATTCCATAGACCAGCGCACAATTCAGTACATAGATCTATGTCAAGACTAGTTTATTATTGTAATATTATGATCAGTTGCAGAGGGGAAAAAAAGACTGGCGCGTTTGTATATGCGACGTTCAACGCCCGGACCGCTAGTGCCCCCTCCCCCTCCCTGACATGCACACACAGTCACACGTGTGCAGGCCGCCCATGCGACCCTTACACACGCCAGAATAGACACGTGTTGTTTCCCTCTCAACTCAGGTTGGCCCAGACTGGCAGGTTCAAAGTTGAAGCAGCCTACCTCCTAAATGATCTAAATAGTGCAAATGGAGGTAGTGTAAATATCTAAAATGTTATATAGAGGATAGTGTATTATTTGTGTAATTTTAGGATAGAAAAATGTTGTGTATTACACTTATCTTTAAAAAAAAAAGTTTGCTTTGATGTTGCTTAAATTATGCTCCCTCCTCCCCACACCAGGGCAGTGCTACTGACTGAAGTTGTCTTTAGGCCATTCCCAAAGGGGGGATATTAACCCTATCCGTACGCCTGGGGTCATTTTGTACCCCAGGGGTTGTATTCTTCATATTTTAGAATACTTCTAGTGCGAAGATCTCTTTTAAACTTTCTGTATTTCTCAAAAAATCATTTTGACAGACTGCTATGCAAAGCATATTGATCGGATTAACGAGTAAATTTCCTCTTTGGAAATTAGGGGCACAGAGTTCCCCACATCGTATGGATACGATAGTAAAACATGACGTACAGATAGAGGGTTAACATGTTCTTATGCAGAGTGGAATTGTAAATGGGTCTTCTCGGGTAGCTCGTCTCATCCCTTTTATATATAGGGCCGTTGTGCTTCCAAGGTTAATATAAGTTACAAACTAGAGAAATATTGGAATGGGAGCATGGTAGTCACTCCCCGCCCTAAGACGGGACGGCTCATATTTACGCAGTGTGAACCTGTGGTAAGGAGGAAATAGGTGCAACCGTTTCGTTTTCTTAATATTTATTACTTTAGTGACCTTTCTTGGGGGTGGTGGGAGGATGTTTTCAACAATGATGCGATGAAACATGGCTGTTTTGTTGTGAGTAAAGGATTCCCCGATCACAGTTTATGACTACTGCTAAGGTGTTGAATGAGGGGTGGAAAAAAGCAGAAACACTGACTCACTCTACTGATATGCTCTAACATGTCGGGAACAGATGAGGAAACTGTTGGTTATAGTATAGTCCTAGGGAAGAGCGCTCAGCCACGTGACTTTCCAAGCGACCACTCCCAGCAACCTGTCTACTATTGAACTATTGCACCTGGGTTAATGCATGAGATCAGACATTCTGAGAGATTTTTCTCTAGCGGTTTGTTGAAAAGTACGTCATAAGTTGTTCAATAGCAGCTGATCTCTTGACTAATCTTTAATCCTATACACTCAGTGCTTCCAATCTTCCATATTTTTACTGAAATCTGTACTTTCTGACAGTTTCCGTAGTTGCTCCCCCATCATTATCAACTCCATCCCTAAAAAAGTGCAATTGTGTAGGGCTGCTGAAATTCCATAGCAAAGAATCCTTTCTCGCCTTCCTATTGCCTTAAATAAGTTTTGAATATTACGGTTCCTGTTATGCATTGATTGCAGGTTGGTCAGCGATACATTTTTACCTGCAGATTGGTTAAAATCTGGCTATCTTGATATTGAGCTTTTTGTGCCAATTTCCTCCTTTCTTTCGTTGACTCAATCTATCTATCTTTGGATTTTGCTGTGGCAGCAAAATCTGCACGTTGGTCTAGTGTATGGACTTGTGAGAAAATCACTATCAGACAGAAAACTTTTCAAATTGTCTAGATCTAGAGTAATTGTCATTGTGATGATTCCTTGGGAGCGTGATAAGGACAGCAGTGAAAGAAATTTATTTGCTAAAACTAAGTAAAATCAAGAATACTTTGAAGTGTTGTTCTGAGGTTGTGGCATTTGACATTCAAACGTGAAAATGGAGGAAAATTAGAGTATATATGCTGGTAAACTTAATTGTCTAAGTACATGCTATGTTATCTTTAAGAAAATAGTATTGGTTGAAAATCTGCAGATGACTTCTATGTCGATTTTCAGCCAACATCATCATTCGCTGATCAAACTTATTTCGTTAGCTCTCCTTACAGTTTGGTTATCAAGCCAAAGTTAAGTCATGATGTAATCAAGTACTTTCTTATGATTTTCTGTATCAAAGTTCACAAATGATGGTGTTAGTCATTCAACACTCATGACGGTACCAGCATAACAACTTTGCATAAGTCATGTGTCCACCTTTCAAACTGGTTTAGCTTCATCCCCTACTTTATGTCTTTCTCTTCTCTTAGATTGAAGACTGCCAACAACTTCTGTCGTCTCATCAGGCCTCAAGACAACATGACTTCAGCTTACGGCCAAGTACCTGTAAAGTCAGCTCTTTTCCATAGAGGAGTAGGCACGTGGCACTAGCTCTTACATGTAGAAGGAAACCGTAGGTGTCTACCATATCTTAGACTCAAAGGAATGCTTGTTTTATGACAAGCTGAATGATACAAAGGCAATAACATTCTGGTAGGGTGTGTGATCCTGGTGAAGCTAAAGGAATGGATCCTGATGGGGCAAACGGTGGTCACAACTCTCAGTCTGCACTTGAAATATCAACAGGAGGAATTAAAGTCCCAAGTCAGATGTCCTACAAGTCGGGAGAGCATAACATTTCAATGCCTCTGTCCAGTGAACTGTGTTCTGAGCAGAAAAGTGCTAATGAGATCAAACTTGAAACTGAATCAAGCGGTAGAATTATGTCTGATGTGTATACAAATACTGGGATTGGATGCCAGGCAGACGTTTCCCATGTAACATCGGAGAATAGTGATAATTGGGAACCTGCTGCTGGTTTGAACATTAATGATAACATTGATCAGCAATCCAGAAATGAGACTTCACATGGGACATGTGCTATAAAATGTAGTGAATCGTTTACTGATGAGAGTATGACGGATAGTGTGGACATTGGTGATGCTGTTCACTCGAGCTCAAAGTGGGGTGCTACTGAATCGTTACATCTAGAGCTGCAGCATGCTGAAACTGCACCTTCAACTTCCCCTCAGTTATCCAGCAGTAAGAATCATGCTGATTGCTTGACTGACACAGCTGTACCAACGAGGGCTTTATCAGAGTCAATTGTAGGACAAGAACTCCCACATCAAACCATGAGCAAAGACAGTAATGGATGTGGTGCTGGTGGCTCTTCCAAGCCATCTGTTTCCCTAGACTTGATACATTTAGATGACTGCCAGGTTCATGTTGAAGCTACAAGTGAAATGGTTGAGAACAGAACCCAACCCCTGGCTAATGCTGTAAATAGCGCATGCCTTACGGAAGACATGGAAACTGAAGGAGAAACCGCAGCACAGAGGCAACAAAGAAGAAAAACAGGGAGTAGAAGGGACAAAACACGCCATGTCCTTCCGGCTTGTAACTGTTCATTGTTGCGGTGTAGTGAGCAAATTACAGAGGAGGGAAGGCAAACTATAAATTCTACTTTCTGGCAGCTTAAAGGTTTGAATAAACGGAGACAGTGGATGTTGGACCACATGAAATGGCATCTCACCACGGTCAGTAGCAGGAAATGGTTAGGGAAGAAAAGGAAGAGTAGAACTTTTTTCCTTCCAGATGTTCATGGCAAGCTTGTGAGAGTGTGTAAAGATTTTTTCATCAGGACTTTAGGATTTGACTGTGTTAAGGATTTATCTGATTTCCGTCCATTTTTTATGAGAATGGCACCGACAGACCAATGTTGTCGTTCTCATCACAAAATGACAGTAGCTGTTCTCCTCTCAGTCAAGAGGCACATTCAGTCCAAGCTTGAGGAATCAAAGTTCAAGAAGCAGTTTAATTCAATAAAGGCAAAGGGAAGGGGCTGTGGCTTTGTTCAGATGTGCTACAAAGATTTCCAAGTGTACCACAATGATCAGAGTGTCGGATACCAGTCATACCAGAATATCTTTTTAAGGCATTGTAACACGTTTTCAAAAGCAGACAGATCGAAATGCCTTTCTGACTTACAGATGTTGAAAGAGGTTTATGCTGAATGTGGAGATAAGCTTGAAGGTCCAGGTCTGAACTCTTGTGGAGAATTTGCTCATGGGGACAATTTAAGTCATGGACCTGAACATGAAGTATGTGGAGATGTGTCTTCAGGTCAGCAGAAAAACTTTACGCAGCGACAAAACGAAGGCAGTGGTGGGCATGGCTCTGTTGTAATGCAGCTGGATAGTGAAAGTGATGCTATTATCATCACAAGAAATGTCAGCGACAGTGAAAGTGAAACTGAAGCTCAAGGACATGATCACAGAAAGCATTTTCGTAGAAATGAAAAGTTAAATTTACGGTCAAATGAAAATGAAGTCAAAGCAACTTTTAGTCCTTCTGAAGTGTCAAATGTTTCCAGCCAAAAGGGCTCAGAATGTAAGATAAGTTCCTTGAAGGAAAAGTACCCTGTTCAGCCTGCATGCCACTGTGAAAATCGATGCTGGGAAAAGATAGGGGAAGATAGGAGGAAACAAATCCATAATATGTTTTGGTTCCTCACAGACTATACAAAGCAGAAACTATGGATACAAAGGCAGAGAGTTGTCAGTAAATGGTTTGCCTTCTCCTTATCTTCTCGTACTTCCAGGTCTTATCGTTTGGCAGATGAGAAAGGTCGACTAATTCAAGTGTGTAGTCATTTTTTCTTGAGCACATTAGGTTTGTTTTCCAACTTCTCAGTATATAAAAAAAACCCTTCTGTGTCTGATGTAAATTTGGACATGTCAGCCAGCTGTCCAGTTGTAAAATCAGAGGACAATATTATTGCTCCATCATCTGTCAAGAAAACCAAGGTAATTCAGAGAAGAAAACGGGAAGGCTTTGAAGTCTCCTTCTTGGAGCAGCACATTCAGGGTTTTATCCAGTCGGGCAAGAATATCCCTGGTCTCAGGAGAGAAGAGTCTTCCAAGGACAGCAGGGTAACCATAAAAAACATGCACCAAGACTTCTTAAGGACCCATCCGGACGTGAATGTTTCTTATGCTACCTACAACAAGTTATATCACGAGCAAATCAGTGCTTTCAAGGTTAGGCTTTTTGCTGGAAGCTCTGATTCTGAGTTACTCATTGATGATGCATATCATAGTTCTGGATATGCTGGTGAAAGTCTTGGGAACACAGAAGGTGTGTATGGAAATTTAAGTAATGAAGGTTCAGCCTCAGATGCCACAGATTTAGACAAAAAATCATCAGTGCCTGGAGAAAGCTTACTTCAAGCTCAGGTTCACCCTGAAGGTGGTTTCTCTAAGAAAAGAAGATTGAGAAATCTAAGTAAAAGTGTGAATTACAATGACAGTCTTGATTTCCCCCTTTATCAAGAGGATTGTCGTCCTGTGAAAAAACGCTCATGGAAATTGGGTGAATCAATAGCTAAGTCTGTGTCCTTTTCTGAGTCATTCGGAGTTTCTTCTAAAAAGAAAATGAAACGTATGGCAAACTCCAGTTCTTTAAATGTTGATAGAAGAACAAATTCGACAGACAATGGAACTCCTAAGCGGAAAAGGGGAAGACCTAGAAAGCATCCTTACCCGGAGGTTGTTGACTTTCAGGATGATCGGGGTAACACTGATGGAGAGGTCAAAGAACTGAGTTTTCGAAGTGAAAAAGAAAAGAAACAATTCAGGAAAAGTTATTTGGTAACTTCTGCTAAAAAGAAAAATAAACACCCGATTCTCCCTGCATGTAAATGTAATAGGAGAAAATGTTTTGAGAAAATTCCTGAGGCTAGAAGAGTTGAAGTTCATGAAACTTTCTGGAGCCTTAAATCATACAATGAACGTAAAGAATGGATGCTGAAGTATGTGCAAAGATGGGAGCCACAGACTAAAAAACTTATCCTGGTTCCTGGGCGAAAAAATGATTGCAGGAAATATTTCTTGCCTGATCAGGATGGCAATCCAATGAAAGTGTGTCGGGTGTTTTTCCTTCATACTTTGGGATTTAAATGGGACAGAATTGTTGATGAAATCATCAAGACGGTGCCAAAAGATCAGATAGTTGTGAGGAAAGTTTGTAAGGAACTTAAGAAACCACAAAGGGAAATGCCTGAGATAGTTGTCAAATCTGTGATAGATTTCTGGGAGGAGTCTGAGAAAAGGAATACAGTCAAAGAAGATGTGGGCAAGGAAGAAGTTAGTGCAGGCCAGACAAAGGAACCTGCAACAGTGAAGGAGAAATCAGATGGAGCAAAAGTGAGAAAGGTATTTGAAGAATACAGGGCCAAACATAAAAACATCTACCTCGGCTACCATAATTTTCGGAGGATATTGAGGGATTTTTTGGAAGCTCAATTTCAAAGTGCCAATGTGGTGTCAGAAACAGGAGTGGGGGATGTGAGAGAAGCAGTGGATGAGACAGAGGAATTTGATGAGCTGGAGACAGTTAGTGAAATACAACAGCCTCCTTCTCCATCAAAAGGTCTGACTAAAAAGAAAACACAGGCTAAACCAAAGTCATTGAAAGTGAAAAAAGATTTCAGAAGGTCACATAAAAAAGTCCCTGCTGCAGTAATGAAGTGCGTGAAAGAATTCTGGGAAACTGTTCAGGAGTCTTTAGCCTCGACACCACCTGTGAAGAAATCTAATCGAGGCCGCAAGCGTTTACACGAAGACAGGGATCCTCCAGTTCCAGGAGGGAGAAAAGTCAAAGATTTATTTGTTGATTTTCGAATAAGGAACAAGAATGTTTACCTTGGTTATCACAATTTTAGGCGTATCTTGAGAAATCTGGCTGGCCTGAAGTGTGGGCCTACTGAAGTTGAATCGGAGCTTGTTCAGGATGAGAATGAGCCTGCCAGAGTGTTGAAAAAACCAAAGAGAAAGCTTCCAGAATTAGTAGTTAAAAGTGTCAAGGACTTTTGGGAATCCTCTCCAATGTCTGCAAGTTCAGAATCTGACAAAAGCAGTGAGGTAAGCAAAGTCAAAACTTATAACAAAGAACCCCTCATGCCGGAAGGTGTAGACATTAAGAAATTGTTTTCAGAGTATAGGGCCAAGCACACCAATATCTATCTCGGGTATCATAATTTTCGCAGGATTCTCAGAAGTATTCTTAATCCAGATGTTGAGCGTATTGAAATCCTTGATCCCAATGAAAATAAACGATCAACCAAGAAGTCTACCTCTGGTAGCTCTAAGGGCAACAACAAGCAAATCGGTTCAAATGAAGTGAACATGGCTGGTCCTGCTAAGCTACAATTGGAAACCCAGGTCAATCAGGCTGGTTTTGATGCTACAGGTCTGGCAGAGGCACATTTGAATGACCAGAATGTTGGTGGGTTTGAGAATGCACATTGCGCAATGACCAGTTTCAATTCAACCTTTGCAATGTGTCATAATGAGTTAAAGGGCAATGATGATTGTATTCTTGATGTTGGAAGTGGACTGTTAAAGCGTAAAGGTTGTATGGATACCACCATCAACTCAGAAGGCCCGGGTTTTCCTGTATCCACATTTAAGTGCAGAAAGCGGAAGAATCCGTCTGTGAGGAATAACAAAAGCAACTACCCCATGTTGCCACCATGTAACTGTACAAAGAGAAAATGTCATCTAAAGATTCCAGAGGTACGCAGGAGAGCCATTCATGAAATGTTTTGGGGTCTTGCAGGCTACAATGAGAGGAAGCAGTGGATGTTGGAGAACATCAAGAGAACAGACATCAAACGTCGTGTAGTTTTCTATGATGAAGGCAAACCTAAGAAGCATGAAAGCCGCTGGTATTACCTTCCAGATGTAGATGGAAAACCTTTGGAAGTGTGCAAGGCTTTCTTCCTCAGAACTCTTGGCTACAAGTGGGATAGTGTCATAGACACCATAGGCAAGACCACGCCAAAAGGTGAAACAGTTGCTGCTCCGGACAGACGGGGCCGTAGACCCCCAGCCCACAAAATCTCTGAAGAGGCTATTGCCTCTATGACTCAGTACATTGAGTCAGTATGTAGGTCTTCTCGTTGTTTCCAGCCTCAGAAAGGCCAGAAGAAAAATAAAACTCCCAATATGATACCGTACGGTTTGACCATGAAACATCTTTTTGAGGATTATAAGTCTAAGCATCCTAATCATAAGTATGGATATGAAAGTTTTAGAAAGGTTTTCCGCACAGTCAAGGCAGATTGGATTCAAAGTTTGCCAGAAGGACACAGCCAGGATGAGCCTGAGCCATCTTTTCCCACCGGCGATGACTCGATGGAACAGGACTACCCTGTCGTAACTGATGTTGCTGAGGATGTAGATGACTTTCAGCCGGTGTCTACAGAGGTTATTCATGTCCCTCAGAGTGCTTCATATTCCAGTATAGCTCAGTACACATCACACCAGGAAGGGCTGGCTCCCGAGACAGTACCACTGGTACAAGAGAGAAAGAGCTGTCTCTACCAGTACTCATCGCCAACACTCAATCCTATTCAGCACCCTTCCTCTGGCCAGCACCATCAGCCCCACCACCAGCCCAGTCACAGCTCCCACCCGCCTCATCAGCATCATCATCATCATCATCACCCTCATCCTCATATTCATCCTCACCAGGACCCTCACTCTGTTGCTGTCCATGATGTTGCTCAAGTGGCTCACAATTCTGGTGTGAGTGAGCACTACCGGCCCATGGATAATGAGCAGTTCATGAAGTACAATTTGTATAACAATAACTCCCCCTCAACCCCAGGGGCCACGGGACACTTCCAGCCCATGTCTGCAGCAGATTCTCTTGCTTTTAATCCTGGCAGTCGTCCTGACATAGATCCCTCCACATCAGGTGGTGGTCAGTTCCCGTCCTACCTGATGCCCAGCCCAGAACCGTTCCGCAGGCAGGTCTACCACCACATGGCCTCACAGTATCATTCAATTTTGCACCACATTGCAGAGTCCAACAGATTCTTCAACTACAACGGTCTCCCACCATCTACAGAAGGCAACTTCCAAATGGGACAAGAGAAGATTGCTCCTTTTGGGAATAGGCAGGACTTCCCCAGGGATAGCCAGATCCCTAGTCAGAATCAGAATCATTTCCCTCACCTGAAACACCCTCAGGGATATGTACAAGAGGTATTACCCATGCAAGGTCAATTCTTGGACCCAAACTTTCAGCCACATGTACAGCAACAGGAAGGCAGCAGTATGGACCTGGCCTCCTATTCTGATGATAATGAAAGCGGCTATATTCTTGAAAACCCTGAAATGCTTGGGAAAGAGCGAGTGGAAGGTTCACAGCATCTGGTTACCCTTCCCGTTCCGGAAAAGGAGAAGGGAAAGAGTAGTAAGAAGTCTCCTCGTAAAAAGAAAGGTGAGACGAAAGTGAAGGTGAAGCGAGAAAGAAAGATTAAGGTGAAGTCGGCTCGCAACAATGGTGAGCATTATCCCATGCTTCCAGCCTGTAACTGCAAGAAAAAGAAGTGTTCAGAAAAGTTTCCCGAAGAAAAACGACAGCAAATTCATGACATGTTCTGGAAACTTGAAAACTACAATGTGAGAAAGCAGTGGATGCTGGAGAGAATTGAGAGGACTGACCCAAAAAGAAGAAGAGAAATCATCGGCAACTTCAAGAAAGGCGAGTCTAGGTGGTACTTCTTACCAGATGATGAGGGAAAAAATGTGGAGGTGTGCAAAACATTTTTTCTGCACACTCTCGGGTACAAATGGGACAGTGTTATTGACACCATTCGAAGGACGATTCCGAAAGGAGAAAAAGTGAGTAAGCCTGACCAGAGGGGACGTAAGCCTCCAGCTCACAAGTTGCCTGTCTCAGTTATACGCTCAGTTATCCAGTACATAGAATCCATGCAGCAGGCATCAGAACTTCATCCCAAAGCTGACAAGGACACAAAGAAGGAAAAGTCTGGGGAGGCTGTCCCTAACAGTGACAGCGCCAGTTGTTCCCAGATTGTTATTCCCTATGGTTTGACTATGAAAGATTTATTTGATGACTACAAGGCTAAGCATGCAGGGCATAAGCTGGGTTATGAGAGTTTCCGCAGACTGTACAGAGCTGTTTCAAATTCTGAGCAGATTCTAATGGACAACGGTCAAACTGGGGAGGAGGCTTTGTTGAATCCAGATGGAGACCAACTTGTTACCTTCTAAACATGTGGAAATATGTACTATGAGTTGTGTATTTGTCCCATTACTTAGTTAACACTGTCCGTACGCCTGTGGTTGTATTCTTCACATTTTAGAACACTTCTAGTGCGAAGATCTCAAAAAATCATTTTGACAGACTGCTATGCAAACGGATCTGACTAACGAGCAAATTTCCTCTTTGGAAAGTGATGGCACAGAGTTCCCCACATCATATGGATACGATAGTAAAACTCGACATACGGATAGGGTTAACTTTGTCTGAGTATTTTTGTTACAGATTGTCTTATCATAATCTATGATGTTACCATGTACAGGCTGTGTTACTATTTTTACTGGTTGATGATTGATTTAGTTTTATGCGAGTGGTTGAAGGGGGGGCTCTAGTCTTGTCTGTTCCTTTTTCTTTTCAGTGTCATATTATTTGTATGAAATGTTATTTTTCTGTCCAGCTATGTGTACATCTGTTATGCTTGCCTCAGGGCCTAAATGCAACGCTGCAGATGCTGGACTTTTTTTCTTTCCTTGATCTTTTTATTTTTTGTATTTTTTAATGGTTTTAAATAAGAGTTTTGTTGCCCTACAAGGTATAACTTGGTATTTTCAGTCAGTCTTGAGATGAAAAATATACCATGTAGGCTACTAGATAGAATCAATGTGTACTTCTAATAGGCTCATATGAAATTGGAATTTTCTTTGATCTACCACCGATTGGTCAGATCCCATTTTCATTTGTTTTGGTATACAATGGGTTCAAGTATGATAGTTAATTTGCCCCGATGAAGTTGTTTATTTGATTGACTTCAACGAAGGTTGTCTACAAATTTGATCTTAACAAATTATAAATAATCACCTGAATCCCTGCCCCACTTTGTCAGTTCTCTGAAGTGTTTTACCCCCCCCCCCCATTGACACAAATTAGATCATGAAAGAGACGAGTTGCTTCAACTGCTTCAACCTTTCCTGTCAGACTGAGTGGTCTGCATCATCCCAGCAGAAAGATACTTAATTAAAAACTTCCTGACCCAGTAGCGAACTCATGTCTTCTATATATGCAAAGATGAAGAGCCTAACTGTAACACTACAGATGCTATTATATGTTTGTTTGGTTTTGATGTCAGATGTTTGATCTGTTGTCACAAATGTCAATCAATGTCACTGTCAGGCATCCTTACCACCTCCCCCCCCCTCCCCCAGTGTCCAATTAGAGCGAAAGTTGAGACTACCCAAGGTGCCTGGGTGCATGTTTGCAATGAAAGATAGTAACTTCCTCATTTGTTTTTTAAGCAGTGCACTGACAGTGACTCCAGTCATAGATGAATGTTTTGTGTATGAAGACGGGAAATTTTTAGCCAGAGCAGTTTTTCTTTGGCAAAACAGTTCAAAATTTTCTTATGTTTTATTTGTAGTATGCAAGGTAGCAAAGAGCTCGCTGAAAGTGAAATCCATAACCAAGGTTTTCATATCGTCCTCAAGACACATATATATATATGAAAAATATCAGGACCAAGGATAATTTCATTGTGAATGAAAATTATTTTATATATTTTTCTCCATTTCCGTTGTACAAATGAATCAACTCTACTATAATGTAATACAAGATAATCAGAATTTAAACAGTCTACTGTGGAGCATTTAGAGCTGACTGTGATTCAGTTTGATCAGTAGGTGAAATCGTATAGTACAAGTTTTACGGGTTTTAGTTTGCCTATATAGATCTTACTTGAACTTGAAGTATTTCTTCTTAACCTAGAGTCGTTTTGATGACCAAATGCATTGTCTTGACAACCAAGTGTGTTGTGTTCAAATAATGAAATATTTCTGTTTCTAGCAGAGCATCAGGTGTTTGTCTTTGTCTGTTATGCCTTTCTTAGAATATTTTGTATATTCTATTACCTCTTTAAAACAAACAAATTTTGTAAATATTGACTCTTTTATTTTGTAGACCTGTATTTGATTTACTTTTTGTCTCATAACTTTTGATTCTTATTAGGTTATTGATTTTCATAACCCGTTAACATCTGTTTGGTTATTTTAGATTTTGGGATTGAATCATTGTTGATGGTTTTTCTGTGATCTGTTAATAGGTATAGCCTACAATTTTTAAAACTGGTTTGAATACATTTTTTACCTGGCCTTCCATCACTGGGATTTGTTTTTGGTGTGTATGCCCATGTTTATATATAATATGCTTTGGGAATTGTTATTTTGTCAAGAGAGAAGAGATATATTTGCTTGTTGGGGGTCTTTTTATTGCCTTTTTTTATCAGATTCTGGGTACTTCAAGGGGCACTGCAAATGAATATCTTGGTGGGATCTCAAACGAGTTGAATTATTTTGTGTTGCTTAATGTCCTTAGACAATATGATAACCAGTGCACATTGCAGAAAGTGTCGTCACATCCTGATTTGTTATGGTTTGATGAACAGTTGAGGGTGGCCAGGTTTTTGTTTATTTTGACATAATTTGATCAACAGCAATTGATGGGCTCCAGTTTGATGAAACTGTGGCCAACGGCCAATTACAAGGCTACTACGCATAATAGGATCAGATCTTTTGATTGCACACAGAATGTGATAGGCTCCAACGGACAATAGGGCCATACATGATGAAGCAAAGCGGAGGTTGATTTGATTTATATAGTGTGCAATAGCTGGAAGCATTACTCTACTGGAACCGAATTGGCCATGCTTTTGACCAATGGATATCTGTTATAATTTCACTACTGAAAATAAAATCAGGGGAGGTGTGATTGTTCAACTGATTCAGCAGATAATTTTGACTTCGGACGCAAATAATTTGTTACCACTCTGTGCCTTCACGGGTGGTCTCACAAAAAGCTAATAAAGAAATATGGGATAAAACCATGTGTGTGCAATACAAAAATTTCAGAATAAAAATACTATTCAATGTCACCAGAAAACAGGGATGAAATGTAAGTGGTATGGAAAAAAGAAGAGAAGAAAGTGATGAGTAGAAAGGGTGCAAAGAGCAGCTCTGTGTCAAAACACAGGAGACAGTCAGCCGCTGTGAGCAGTGCTGCGGGCTGAATCAATTAATACTTTATGACACTAGGTTCTTGAATGCATTGTGTGCATGCAAGCTGTGATGTGTAAATCAGAAATTTTGTGAGGAATTTTTTGTAATTCAGTGTCAAAGTCATGAATTAACAAATCTTGACCCTTCCTTCTGCCATCATACTTATCTCCTGTATGTAGGCTATGTAGTATGCCTTATGTAATTGAAGTGTGTAACCTCCTTTCCACCTCTCTTGCTCCCTCCCTCCATCACCCCCTCCCCCCTCCCATGCCCCCTTCCTCACCCCCTCGCATTCCTCCTACCTCCTCTCTACCCCCCACCAGTCTTTCTTCCTTTCCTTTTCCCTTCTCTTTAATGACTCGTAATGTTCATTATTTCTTTTTACAATTTTTGTTCCTTTCCTATGAAGTCCTATAATAACTATAACGCACAACTCTGTGGATGGCAGTCGATGTTCCAATGAGTTTTTCATTCCAACTTAATTTACAGAGTACATGATTCATTGTGGTTTAAGTCCATTTCATGTATGTAGAAGTCCTTCCATAATTCATCAACATTTTCATTTATCAAGTTGGAGTATTTTGTGTTACTGGGTTCATTTGTATCAGTACGCCCGTTCTCATAAATTCATTTTTGTGTTTCTGTACTTCTGAAACGTATACCCAAAACCATGCTGTTATTGTAGATTTTTACATTATAACTAAACTGAACGGATCATATTTTTATATTTTCTTGTTAGTTTCCTTATATTATACTTTTGCACTCTGACTTTTAATAGAAACGTTTACGCTTTCGCTTCCAATGGTGATTACTGGTACTAGTGTCACCCATACGTACATGTTTGATGATAGAATATCGAGCAGGATACAAAGAGGCTCATTGAATTGTATGATGTATTGCTGTTGGAAAATGTTTGCCCTAATGGATTGCAAAACATAATGTAGTGTACATATGTTCATAAATACATACGGTTGTATCATAAACCAATGGTAAAATCATTAAAGGTCTCACATTATTTTATAAGAAATGGATGTGTTATTTCTTTTTTGGCTTTAAAACAGCTGTGTCTGTCACTAACAAGGCAACATTTCCGCTAAAATAAGTCACTTTCTTGTGCTCAAGTTTGCCTGACCTTATCTCAGTTATTTCTTGACTAATTACTAGAACCTTGCAGGTGGGTTTGAAATGCCATTGACCTTCAGGAATATTTTTTTCTATGTGAAAATTGAAGCTGTTACTAATTTCCTCTTTGTTTATTGTGAAACACGGCCTGGCTTGAGTTTACACAATTTAGAATGGTTTGTAGTACCAAGGTCACCGTATTCAACAACAATGATGATTTTACACTAAAAAGTAGGGCAATACAATAGAGTTCTTAAGAAAATTGCAAAAAACTGGGCACGAGAAAGTGAACTGACTAGTCTATAGTTATTGCTAATTATGTGCTCAGATGTGTACACTCCGTTTATGTCTGGTGTCTGTCTTGTTTCTTGTTTAGCTGCTGCTTTTATTCGCAATCCGTCTAATCTGCTAATTGTGTGCTCAGATATGTGTACACTCCGTTTATGTCTGTCTTGTTTAGCTGTTGCTGTTATTCGCAATCTATCTTCTCTTTT